CAGAAGCCCGCGCCCGCGCGCGCGGCGCTCGACAAGCTCTGCCGCGACCCGTGCGTCCGCGACCTCGTCGCCGGCGGCCTGCTGTCCGTCGACGACTTGCGCCAGTGCGCCATGCGCTTCGCGGCGCGCTGCGCCCGCGGCGCGAGCCCGAAGCCCCTGAGCCCCAACAGCGCGAAGAAGCACTCGTCCGTGCTCCGCCACGTCGTCCTCGAGGACGACTTTCTCTTCGACGCGCTCAAGAAGCGGTCCCCGCTCTTCGCGCCCTACCGCCGCAGCCACACGCTCGCGGCGCTCGACGCCCTGGGCCCGGAGCCGACGCGCCTCGGCGTCGCGACGCTCGAGGCCCACGCGGGCAGGGACGACGCCTTGGCGTTCGCGGTCTACAACGCGGAGCGCCTCAAGCGGTCCTGCGTCAAGTACGCGGGCGTGCGCGCGCCCGCGGCCATCCTCGGCGCCGTGCTGTCCCTGTCGGCGGCGCTCCGGGGCCGCGTCGCCGTCGGGCGCCTCGGCCTCGACGACGCGATCAAGATGCCGCGCGCCGACCGCGCGGGCCTCGAGGCCGCCATGACCAAGAAGCGCAAGGCCATGGCCCTCGCCGACACGACGCGCCTCCGGGGCCAGTTCCGGGGCAAGGCCCTCTGCTTCAACTAAGCCCGCACACGAATCCCCGAGGTCCGCGGGGCGGGGAAGTGGGCGGGGTCGAGATTGGGAGAAGTGGATAGAGACTCGGAGGCCTCCGCAGATTGTTGTCAATCTAGGTTCCACTTTACTGCCGTAATTCGCCGGCGAGTGCGAGTTTGCTTGCTTTGCCGGAGTCGTCGCGAGTTTTTGCGTTTGCCGCAGCTCGATTTGCCGGCGCCGCTACTTGGGGAAACGGCGAGTTTCCGTGGTACATTGAAGTAAAGTTGTACCTCAACTTGAAGCAAACTACGATAAATTGGCTGCCAAGCCCCTCACACAACCAGCGCCGTCATCGCAGGAGGAACCGCGAAGCGCCGTAATATCCGCGCCAATAAAGCAGAGCTTATTTCGGTCATTTCCGCGCGTCACGCGCGCCGCGTAGTACGCGGGACGCCACGGCTTGAAGGGCCTCTCGGCCGCCGGAAAACCGGCCCGGCGGCAAACTCGCCGGCGGCAAATCACCGGCAAAGTCAAACTCGAAAAACTCGCCTCTGGAGCGGCAAAGTTTTTACGGTAAAATGGAACCTAGCGCTAGATCTTGTGCCGGTTGCTCAGCCAGGAGAGCCACGTCTTGTGGACGAAGGACCCGACGCTGATCGCGGCGATGCGCGAGTGCTGGGGCACGTAGAGGAAGTTGAGCAGACAGAGTGGGGTCCAGAAGACCGCGGACCCGAAGGACGCGTCCCACCACTCGCGCCGCAGCTGGCTCGCGGTCTCGTCGACGCTCCGCCCGCGCAGCGAGCACGTGATCGCGTAGAACGTCGGGATGAGCAGCAGCGGCGTGTGCACGTAGACGTCGAGGACCATCTTCGTCATCGCGTTCCGCACCGTCGGCGTCTTTCCCAGAATTCGGTCGTACCAGAGGTAGAGCGTCTTCGCGGTCACGCCGTAGTGGAAGAACCCGAACGTCGCCAAGGCCAGCGTGCGCCCGGCGTCGACGCCGTCGTCCCGGGTCAACGACTGGCAGGTCACGTCGGACGCGGCCATGACACCGCCGGCCGTGGCGGCCGCCGCGACGTGCGGCCGGCGCTGCGAGAAGCGGGCGTAGTGGCTCGGGAAGGCGCGCAGGGAGGCCAGCGCGTGCGTCGGGAGGGAGCGCAGGGAGGCCAGCGCCATGATGTGAAGAAAAGCAGGGAAAAGAGGACCGGCGTCGTCCCTGCCGATGTGGCCGGTTTCACGAGCGCGCGCCGCTGTCAGGAACTGCTAGTCGGATTGCTGCTGGGCTAGAGTAACGGCTCGGGCACACGTGCTGCTTAGTTATCGCCTCACGGCCCGCGAATCTCGCGAACAATATCCATACGTCGGGTCGAGCGCCGCGAATTCACGCGTCAACACTAGGTAAACATCAGCTTTGTGTCCTCGTTTTGCGATTCTCAGACGACGTCCCACCACGTCGCTTCGACAAGAACACGACCCCGTCGTCCGCCGAGG